GTAAGTGTTTTGGGACACTGTTGTAAATGGAGTTTTTATAATGTTTTCATTTTCCAATTATTTTCTGCTTATACAAAATTAATTCTTGTATATTATACCCTGGCTCATTTATGAATTTCAGTTCTTGTTATGCAGAGTCCCCAGAATTTTCTACATAAATAATCATATATCTGCAAATAGGGACAAGTTTTACTTCTTCCTTTCCAAATGTTACACCTTCTATTTCTTTTTCTTGCCTTGTTACAATGGTGAGGCACTCCAATGCAGTGCTGAATAAAAGTGGTAAAGCAAGTATCCTTTTCTTATTCCTGCTGTTAGGAAAAACAATTCAATCATTCACCATTAAGTATGATATTTGCTATAATTTTTCATAGATGTCGTTTATCACATTGAGGAACTTCCATTCTATTCCTGTGTTTTAAAAATTACTTAAATTTTCTTTATCATGAATGAGTGCTGAATTTTGCCAGGTGCTTTTTCTACATCTTTTGAATGTATTACATTGTTTTTCTCCTTACATGTGTTTTTGGTGAATCACATTGATTGCTCTTTGAATATGAAACCAATCTTGCATTCTTGTGGTAAACCCCACATCTCATGATTTTTTATCCTTATAATGTGTTCTTTGATTTGCTAACCTTTTGTTAAGGATTTTAGTATTTATATTCAAGTGAGATATGGTCTGTAAATTTCTTTCTTATAGTGGCTTTTTCTTTGATATTATAGCCTAATAAAATGTGTTGGAACATGTTCCCTTGCCCATTTCTGAAAGTTATTTTACTTTAGTGTTTGATAGAATTTACCAGTAAAATCATCTGGGACTGGAGTTTTGCTTTGGGAAAGATTCTTGGTAACAAATTTAATCTCTTTGGTAGTTATATGACTATTTAAATTTTGTTTCACTTCCTGTCAATTTGGTTAAGCTGTATCTTTAAGAAATTTCTCCATTTCATTGAGGTTGTCATTTCCTTGGCATATAGTTGCTCATGCAATTCTATTTTCCCTTTTGGTGTGTGTAGTAGCTTCATAGCAGCCCATTTTTCTTTTCTGATATTGATGACTTATGGTTTTTGTTTGTTTGTTTGTTTTGGTTTTGTTTTTTCTTGATCAGTCTAATTAGAGGTTTGTCGGTTTTTTTATCTTTTTCAAGGGCCAACTTTTGGTTTTGTTCACATTATTATCTGTCTGTCTGCTATTTCATTGATTTCTGGTCTCACCTTTATTATTTCCTTCCTTCTACTTCCTTCTACAATGCTGTCAGTGATGGGATAATATCCATATGCCTACAAGGAAGGTCAGTTAATACTACTATTATACAAATTCACGTGCCAACCACCAAAGCCAAAGATGAGGAAATTGAAGATTTTTACCAACTTCTGCAGTCTGAAATTGACTGAACATGCAATCAAGATGTATTGATTATCACTGGTGAGTGCAATGCAAAAGTTGGAAAAAAGAAGAATCACTGGTAGTTGGAAAGTATGGCCGTGGAGATCGAAATAACGCTGGAGATTGCATGATAGAATTTTGTAGAACCAACGACTTATCCATTGCAAATACCTTTTTTCAATAACACAAACAGCAACAATACTTGTGGACTTCGCCAGATGGAGTACACAGGAATCAGATAGACTACATCTGTGAAAAAAGGCAGTGCAGTGGAAAAGCTTCAGCCCAAACAAGGCCAGGAGATGATTATGGATCAGACCATCAACTGCTTATATTCAAGTTCAACTTGAAGTTGAAAACAATTAAAACAAGTCCACAAGAGCCAAAATATGACCTTGATTATATCCCTCCTGAATTTAGAGACCATTTAAAGAATAGATTTGATGCATTGAACACCAGGAAGAATTGTGGGATGACGTCAGGAACATCGATGAAGAAAGCAAAAGGTCATAAAAAGACAGGATAGGAAGAACAAAATGGATGTCAGAATAGACTCTGAAACTTACCTTTCAACAGAGAGTAGCTAAAACAAATGCAAGAAATGACAAGATAAAAGAGCTGAACAGAAGATTTCAAAGAGCAGCTCAGGAAGACCAAGTCAGTTATTACAATGAAATGTGCAAAGACATGGAGTTACAAAATCAAAAGGGAAGAACACACTTGACATTTCTCAAGCTGAAAGAACTGAGGAAAAATTTAAACCTTGAATTGCAGTATTGAAAAATTCTATGGGCAGTATTTTGAATGATGTAGGAAACATCAAATGAAGATGCACGAAATTCACAGAGTAACTGTACCACAAGAAATTAGTCAATGTTCATCCATTTCAGGAGGTGGCATATGATCAAGAATCAATGGTATTGAAGGAGGAAGTCTATGCTGCAATGAAGGGATTGGTGAAGAACAAGGCTCCAGGAATTGATGTAATACCCATTGAGATGTTTCAGCAAATGGATCCCATGCTGGATGCACTCATTCAGCTATGCCAAGGGATTTGGAAATCAGCTACCTAGCCAACTGACTGGTAAAGATCCATATTTGTACCCATTCCAAAGAAAAGTGATCCCACAGTATGTGGAAATTATTGAATAGTATCATTAATGTCACACGCAATCTTACTGAAGATAATTCAGAAACTGTTGCAGCAGTATATTGACAGAGAACTTCCAGAAATGCAAGCTGGATTCAGAAGAGGACGTGGAACAAGGGATATCACTACTGAGGTCAGATGGATCTTGGCTGAAAGGAAAGAATACCAGAAAGATGTTTACTTGTTTTATTGACTAGGCAAAAACATTTGATTTTGTTAATCATAACAAATGGTGAATAACATTGAGAAGAATGGGAATTCCAGAACACTTAATTGTAGTCATGAGGAACCTGTGCATAGGCCAGGAGGCTGTCATTCAAACAGAACAAGGGAACACTGCATGGTTTAAAATCAGGAAGGGAGAGCATCATATTTTTTTCTGTCCACCATCCTTATTCAAGATATATGCTGACCAAATAATCTGAGAAGGTGGACTATATGAAGAAGAACATGGCATTAGGATTGGAGGAAGACTCATTAACAACCTGTGATATGCAGACAGCATAACTTTGCTTGCTGAAAGTGAAGATGACTTGAAGCACTTACAATGAAGATTAAAGAGTCTGCAGTGTGGATTATACCTCAGTATAAGGAAATCAAAAATCCTCTCAACTGGACCAATAAGCAGCATCACAATAAATGGAGAAAAGATTGAAGTTGTCAAAGACTTCATATGACTTGTTTCTACTGTCAACACCAATGGAAGCAGCAGTCAAGACATCAGACAACATATTTCATTGGGCAAATCTGCTGCAAAAGACTTCTTTCTAGTGGTGAAGAGCAGAAATACCTCCTTGAAGACTAAGGTACACCTAACCTAAGCCATGGTATTTTCAATCACCTCATATGCAAGTGCTCTGGTAGCATAGTGGCTAAGTCACTTGCCTGCTAACCAGATGGCTGGCGGTTCAAATCCACCAGCCACTCCTCGGAAGGAAGGTTGGGCAATCGTACTTCCGTAGTGATACTGCCTCGGAAACCCAAGGAGGGGTCGCTATGAGTCGGGGTCGACTCGACGGCACATAACAACAACATAACAACATATGCAAGTGAGAGCTGGGCGATGAATAAGGAAGACCAAAGAAGAGTCGATGCTTTTGAGTTGTGGGGTTGGTGAAGAATACTGGATGTACCATGGACTGCTAAAAGAAGTAGCAAATCTGTCCTGGAAGAAACGCAACCAGAATGCTCCTTGGAAGTGAGAATGGCCAGACTTTGTGTCACCTAATTTGGTCATGTTGTCAGAAGGAATCATTCCCTGGAGAAGGATATTATGCTTAGTAAAGTGGAGGGTCCACCAAAAAGGGGAAGGCCTTCAATGAGGTGGATTGACACAGTGGTTGCAATGATGGGCTCACGTATAGCAAGGATCATGGGGCTGGCACAGGGTCAGGCAATGTTTTGTTCTGTTGTACACAGGGTTGCTATGAGTCAGAGCCAATTCAGCAGCACCTAACAACAATAATAACATTTCCTTTAGATTTACTTTGTTTTTCTTTTTCTAGTTCCTTAAGATTGAAACTTTGATCATTGATTTTATACTTTTCTTTTCCAGTGTAATTATTTAAAGCTATAAGTATCTCTTTGGACTCTAGCTGCATTCTACAAATGTGGATATGTTGTATTTTCATTATCATTAAGTTAAAAATATTTCTAATTCTCATGTTATTTCTTTTTGACCCATGAAACATTTTGTTGTTGTTGTTATTTGCTATCGAGTCAGACCCGACTCATGGCGACCCCTCCTTGGCTTTCTGAGGCATTATCACTATGGAACTAGATTGCCCAACCTTCCTTCCGAGGAGTGGCTGGTGGGTTTGAACCGCCAGCCGTCTGGTTAGCAGGCAAGTGTCTTAGCCACTATGCTACACAGCATTTCCAGGAAAATTAGAAACTAGCCCCTTTGTGAGCATACAGTTACTTGATTATTGTTCAAGAGTGAATCTTTTATGTTAGTGTTCTTTGTCAGTGTTATTGAAACTAATGAAAATGAAATCACTAGAAGAAAGTCATATATGTAAATATGGTATGAATAATAGTAATTTAAAGCAACCTGGCCGTAGTAAAACTCTTAGTGATTATTTATCATTTGTTTACTTCTTTGCATGTTGTACCTTTGTTAAAGATTGTTGTTGTTGGTAAAGATTAGGACCTTAGATTGACAATATAAGGGGAAAAATGACTGTTGACCTAACACAGGATTTTTAAATCAGTCTTTAAGATAAAACTGTGTTTTAAATGTTTTGATTTGTGGAGGCAATAAATGAGATCTGGAAAATTCTACAGAAATCTACTTACTAAGATGGAAATTAAATCCTGTCCCATGGAGAATGTATATTTATAGGCTGAATGTGAGCAAAAATTGGTAGCTCTAGCATTTCTGTCTGTCATCCAGTAGCTCCCTCTCTGTCAGAGATTCAATAGTGTCTAGTGTTAAATAATAATTCTTTGTTTTGTGCAGATGTTTCTTTCTTAGCAAAATCGAAGAGAAACTTACTCTTCTTCCAGATGACCATAGTATGAAAGTGGATAGAGATGGAGATTCCAGTGACAAGGAAGAAATGCAAAAGCAGGAAAAAGATATTTTTTCTCTGATTAAGAACTGTAAATTTTCCATGAAAATGAAGATGATAGAAAGTGCGAGAAAACAGGTAGGTACCAATATTCATTTTCCTCTATGTTATCATTAAATTTCCCTGGTGGCTTGGTGGCTGTGCACTCAGCTGCTTAGGTCAGCACTTCAAATGTATTAAGCCATTCCATGGGAAAAAGATTTGGCAGTCTGCTTCTGTAAAGATTACGGCCTTGGAAACCCTATGGGGCAGTTCTGCTCTGTCCTTTTGGGTCTGTATGAGTTGAAATTAACTCAGTGGCACTGGGTTGAGTTTGGTATGTTATCACTGAATTTTCTAAACATAGATTTTTTTTTTTTTTCTTAACTTAGTAGTTCTTTAAAATCTGAAGTTTAAAAATTACCAAGTTAGTATTTTTTCTTTATTAGAAAGTAAACTTGAAGAAACACCTTAATGTATTCCAGAAACCACCTAAAAGTTTATTATATATTTATTAGTCATTTCAAAAGTATTATAATTTGGTATTTCAATAGAGAATAAATCTAATATCAGATTTTATCTCCTTTAACAAATGTTCAGTTTGTGGAAATCTATCATTTGATAGTAAGATCCTTTCTTGATAAAAGTGTACCTTTCATTGTTGTTGTTGTTGTTATGTGCCGTCGAGTCAAACCCGACTCATAGCGACCCCTCCTTGGGTTTCCGAGGCAGTATCACTACGGAAGTAGGACTGCCCAACCTTCCTTCCGAGGAGTGGCTGGTGGGTTTGAACCGCCAGCCGTCTGGTTAGCAGGCAAGTGTCTTAGCCACTATGCTACCAGAGCTCCTGTACCTTTCATAAAAGTTGCATATAAACTATTTCAGTGCATCAAATCACATACATTGGAGAGTTTGCTATTTTAGTAGCCCAATAGTGTTGGTTTTTATAAAGCGAAGAAGTTAGATTAATACAAATATTTTTGTTCTTTAGGTTTAAATGTTTACAAGTCATATTTTCTTTGTGATAGGGTTTGTATTTTATGTTACCAATCACAGAAAACCCACCCAGATGAAGAAAGGAGATTTGATCAGGTGTCTCATAGGGTCTAGAAGGGCTGGCTTAGATATGCCTGAGAAACTATCACCGAGGCTACTCCTGGGTTCTGCCTTTTGTCTCCTATCTTGGGTTTAGTATCATTTCCCTCTCTCTCTCTCTCTCTCTCTCTCTGAAATGGCTGTGGAGGTTTCAGATCTAACTTCCTATATATCACATCTTTCTGGAGTAGAAGCAGTTTCCCTTTGACTGTCTCCTACAGAAAAAAGAAAAAAAATAAGGTATTTTCTTTGCCAGAGCCAGCTATTATCCACCCATTGCCTTACTGGCTCTTGTTGCACAAGGAGGGGCTATCCAAACCCTTGGCACAAGGCCTCTTAGAAGAAATTCCAGGTGCTTATCCCAGAAGGAGAGGCAACTAATCCTCCCTGCTGCTATTCAAACAATGAAAAAAAGAGGGAGGAAGTTGATTTTTGATACATTATTCAGAAATCCTGTGATTATCACTAAAAATCTCTCAAAAAAATAATACAGTGGCTTTTCTTTAGCATTTTTCAGCAATATGTTGTTATTTGCCATCGAGTCGGCCCCGACTCATAGCGACCCCTCCTTGGGTTTCCGAGGCAGTATCACTACGGAAGTAGGAATGCCCAACCTTCCTTCCGAAATACATTCATGTATAAATGTGAACTAAATAGAGTTCACTGTCAATCCCAGTTATATTGGAGAGATGAAGTAAAAGAATAATCCAAATGTGAAGATTACATAAACATGTCATGTGTTTTATTTTATCTGCCCTCACTAGAACTGTTCAAAAGTTGCAGATCTGAAATTGAGTTTTTCCTCTTTTCAATGCCAAGCCCTTTGTTAGGTGCTTGAGATATGGTTTTTTTAACAAAATATGTGCAAGTAGGCAAACAGTTATAACACACCTTGTCATGATAAGTACTAAAGGAGAACCATGTAGGAGGGCACCTGACCCAAACTTGTGGAACACAGAAAACTCCCTGGGGGAAAAAGAGGTCATGTCTAAATTTGGAGCTAGAGGATAAAGTAGGGCAGAAGGAATCACATATAAGACTCAGGAATGACCAAGTGCCCTTGTTTTCGTGAGTGGATTGAAGATTAAGCTTCAACCTCTACTAAATGGCTGGACACCATGATACAGGAAGGCCCTGGAAAAAAAATCGGAAGAGCATCAGATCAGAGGACGTTGCCAGTGATTAGCAAGCTTCTCTACCAATCCATGTGAAGAGTGGTAATGACCATGTAGAACTCAGGGAACTGGGAGAAGTGGTCTAATTCAAGGAGAAGGATGAGTTACTGACAGGACATGCTGATTGTTCTATGCAGGAGGAGGGAGAGGAGACACTAACCTGAGTAGCTGGGGGACAGGAACGCAGAAGAAAGAGTAGCCTATGAGGAAGGCGATACATTCAGTTTGGGACATGTTCAATTTGAGAGGCCTTTAAGACAACCAAGTAGTTGTTGCCATTGGTAGTTTGTACATAAGAAACTTACAGCTCTAGAGAAAGAGTTAGGCTGAAGAAACAGGTCTAAATATGGTAGACATGTGGGTGGTCCCTGAAACCATGAGGTGGGCAGAATATCCAGGCCAAGCCCTGGAAAAAAGCAATATGTATGGGAAGAGCAAAAGAAGAGGAGCCCACATAGAACCTAGAAGAATAGAAGAAGACTGAGGGATTAGAAAACCACAAGGGGAGAGTCCAAACCATCAGTGTCACTTACCAAAGAGAAGGAAAGTGTGGAAAGTTTAAAAATGCCCTTAATTGTAAAAGAAGAAGGTTGCTATTGGCATTGGTGAGAACCATTTTGCCAGATCAAAAGGATTCAGATTGCAGTGGGTGGATAAATGAATTAAAGAAAGTGAGGATGTAGGGAGTTCACACTTCTCTTCATAGAAGGAACATGTGAGAGTGAAGAAATAGTTTTATTTTTTTTTTTTAAGCATGAAAGAGATGTGGTTATGTTTAAATATTAACATAAACATAACCAAGGAATGACTGGTGAAATAAGATTCCTTGTGGAGGTTGGGAGAGCATGGGGGAGCAATTTGCCTTTGATGGGAGATGAGCCCTCTTATGTTATAACTGGAAAGAAGGAGGTAAGAATGGGTTTGGATGCAGGCAGAGTGATAATATACTTCAGGAGACTTCTATATTTTCTGAGGAGTAGGGGTGGGGGTAGTAGGGAAGGAGAACTGAGGAAAGTAAAGTTGTTCTGAAATAACTGTAGTGTGTGTTGGAGAAGGCTGATGAGTGAAATAGATATTGTCAGGCAGTTGGAGTTGCCTCCAGTGAATAAGTACAAAAGGGCCCACATTAGGAGTAAAGGAGGTATGCAGTTTGAGAATCCCAAGAGTGTGGTTTTGCAGGTGAACATGACACAAACATAAAGTCTGATGAATAAGAGTATTGCAAAGAGAATGCAGACATGATTGGCTTTGTTAATTGGATATGGAAGGAAATAAAAACAAAAAGAAAGCAGGTCAGGTTACTAGAGGTCTTATGTAGGTTATGAAGTCAGCATAGCAGGGATTTGGTTGGAGTGAGATGATTTGAGTTGAAGTCTCATGGTGGGGAGTTCTGGATAATGATGGGGGTCACATACAGTTGAGAAACTGTAGCAGCCACTGTAAGTAAGAAAGACACTGTCCATGTCTCACGACTACAATCTAGCAAGAGAGTATGTGTAACAAAAGGTAAGCAAAGAAAACATCAGTGCTGAGACCATAAGGAAGAGAGAGAAATTCTATCTGGAACAGAAGGCTTCATGGAGGAGGTTTTATGGAAATAGTAGGATTTGGACTTAGGAGGAGGGAGGCAATATAGGTATACAAAGGTTTCAAATAGAAATATTGAGATGAGAAACTCAAGGTTGCTTTCAGCCTGCCCTGAGCAGAGGGCATCATGATAGTAGGTCTGAACTAGAGGAGACGGATAGAGATGGGTAAGGAGACAGTCTTGTAGGAATTGGGAAATCGCTGGAGGGTTCCTAGGATTGCTAGTATGTTGGAAGCTATGTGGAAGATTGAATGCTTAGGGTGAAAAACATGCAGGGAGAGAGACCATGAAGTCTCCAATTAGGGAAGCGGTGGTAGAAATGAAAACAATATGATAGACAGTCAATAAGTAGAGATAAGATGACTTATAATACTAGGAATAATGGATTGGATTTTTAGCCTGGATAATTAAAGAGATAGTAATTAACATTGTTTAACAGAAGCAACAGAGGGTATTTTTGAAATCCTGGAAATGTTTTATAGATAAATGACCTTTTATGTGACTGTAAAGGAATTTCCAATCTCTCTCCCATCACCTGACAACCACTACCTTTGTCTCTCTTTTCCTTCTGTATCTGGCTTAAACCTACCATGTTTGGCATTCACCTATATTCTAGCATCTATCCTACTTTTATTACTTTTACTAATCCATTTTATGGATAGCTGCATTGTTGTGGGTTTTGCTACTATGAATATTTGTACCACATACTGGTTTCAGTTCTTTCAATTGTCTTGTGGAAATAAATTTGAATTCCAGTTTCCAAAGAGAAAATAAATAAATAAATAAAATGTAGTAATTAGGGAGATCTAGGATTGATGAAAATATTTTTTGAGGTTTTAGAGAGAATTGGAAGAGTAGATTTAAAAAGACATCCACATTGCAGGCAGCCAAACCAAAAGTAACTAAATTGGACTTCATTAAGATTAAGAACTTTTGTGCATCAAAGGACAGTATCAAGAAAGTGAAAGAGAGCCTAAGAATAGAAGAAAATATTTACAAATCACATAGCTGATAAAGGTCTAGTGTCCAGAATATACCAAAAATTCTTTCAACCCAACAACAACAACAAAAAAAAACAGTTAAAAAATGTCTTATCCAAAGAAGACATACAGATGGTCAACAAACATGTGCAAAGATCTCAACATCATTAATTGTTAGTGAAATGCCGTATAATCTCACACCACTAGAATGTTTATTATCAGGAAAAAAATGGAAATTAACAAGTGTTGGCAAGGATGTGGAGAAATTGGAGCTCTCATATACTGCTGGTAAAAATGTAAACTGGTACAGTTTGGGAAACAGTTTAGTAGCTCCTCAAAAAGTTAAGAGTTATTGAGCATTTGCACTCTTAGATATATACCAAAGAGAAATAAAAACATATGTTCACACAAAAATTCATGGCAGCATGATATATAATAGCCAAAAAGTAGAAACAACTCCGATGTTCATCAACAGATGAATGGATAAACAAAACAGAACATATGCATACAATGAAATATTATTTAGCAGTAAAAAGGAATGAAGTTCTGATACGTACCACAATATGGATGAACCTTGCAATAACTATGCGACACTAACTATGTAACACAAAATGCTACATATTGTATGATTCCATTTATGTAAAATGTAGTAGATTAGGTAAATCCATAGAGATAGAGAATAAGTAGATGGGTGGTTGGTTGCTAAGGGGAATGGGGACTGCCTGCTAATGGGTATGGAGTTTCTTCTTAGGGTGATAAAAATGTTCTGCAATTAGGTAGGTATGATGGTAGCCCACTAAAACAACTGAATTATACTCTTTAAATGTGAAGTATATTCCAATAATAAATAAAAATACATCCACATAATTGAAATTGAGAAAATGATTAGCTGCTCCAGGGTAGATTGTGTAGTCCACAAAGGAAGCAGTCCAATTAAATATTTTGTAAAATCAGTTTATTTCTAAAATATCACCTATATGTCATCATATCATTTTTTTTTCTTTTTCTTCTGTCAATATAGAACAGCTTCTCACTTGCCATGAAACTACTGAAGGAGCTTCATAAAGAGTCAAAAACAAGAGAAGATTGGCTGGTGAAATGGGTACATAGCTATTGTCGATTGAGCCACTGCCGGAGCCAGACCCAGCATCATACTGAGCAAATTCTCACTGTGTTGAAATCCGTCTCTTTATTGGGTATTAAACTGTGCTTTATTCTGTATAAATTGTAGAATGCTATTTTATATTATGTTTTATATGACTTCTAAACCTGTTCTTTGTGCTGCTTCATCAGACATTTGGGAATTAAATTTTTGTAGTAATTTTAGAAAATAGAGTGAAGTGTGCTGGAGAAAATTACGTCATTTCCTTGGGAATTAAACAAAAGATATCATACTGTTGAGTATGACTTTTTGAGCTTTTGTGTCTTTATAAAATGAAATAGAAACTAAAATTTTTCTTTCATAATTAGCAAAAGTAATAGGTTTGTTTTGAAAAACTAAGTTGCATACAAAAATGCCTTGTAAAATTAAATATAAATAAATAGACTTTATCCTCCTTAGCTCTTCTTTTTTCATAGTAGCTTTTTAAACTGAAGAGAGAAAAACTTTCTCTGGTGTGGGTTTTGGATCTGATATGTCTTCTCTGTTGCCAGATGCCCAAGTTACAGAATAGCACTATTAATAGACGTGTTCCCAACCACATTGCCAAACCAGACTCTTTGGCAAGACAGAGCATTGTACAGATTATCAGCCACAGGAAAGGTACAGAGGGGAAAAGCAGTCTTTGCAAACTGATTCCAGGATCAGAAAATTGGTCTTAAGTGTCCCCCGACCCTGAGAAAAAGAAGTTTGCTGATATTAAGAAAATATTAGTACCCTGCAACCTCACTCGTTCATTGCTATGCTTTATAGTAATTCTACAGTTATAGTATGATTGCAGTTTTTAAGAATCTTGTGAAATAAACAGGTCCAGTGGTTATTAGGTATCTGAGAGAAATCTGACAGAGAATTTTTATTCCGTGGATGACCAGGGTAGTTTGGTTCACTGGACTTCCTAGGAGACTGCCCTTCCATTTTTACCTCTGGAAGCTATAAGCTTGTCCAGGGCTAGGCCAGATCCTTACCCAAAGCCATACAATTAGTAAGAAGCAGAACTAGAACTTTAAATACAGCAGTCTCTGGTCCTATATCAGCTATAATCCATAGCACCACTTTAATCACATGCAGAAATGTATTAATGAGAACCATTTTCAGTTCTTTGCGACAGACTGAGCCAGAGGTACGTTGACAGAATGCAGAAGGCTTATGTTTTTGAATAAAAAATAACTTTTAGCTTTAGCTTTTTAACCTCTGTGGACTTTGACATAGTTGCTACTAAAAAAGGAATATTTTTTATTAATTAATTACTTGAAGGAATTCTCTAACTAATATGAAGTTAGTTTCTTTTACTTCAATGGAAGCAAGATTTATTTGTGTACTATGAATTTCCTCTCTTTACCTTAAGGTATTCATTTACCTCAGGGAAAAAAATATTTTTTCTTTTTTTTCTTAAATCCAACAGATGAGAACACATCAAGCTACTTAAGCAAAAATGTTGTGTCTTTTTGTGATCAGAACATACTCTTGGGTACCACTTACCAGATCATGGCTAATGCTCTCAGCAGTGATGCAGCATGCCTTGCCCAAATTGAGGAAAGCAAGGTTAGAAGAATCTTGGAGCTTTCTGGATCCAATTCAGAGGATGCAGAAAAGGTAAAGAATATTGGAAGAAGGAACTTTTTATGTTGGTGTGCTATCTGTTGCTTTTTTTTTTTTTTTTAATTTTTATTGTGATTTGGGTGAAAGTTTACAGAGCAAATTCATTTTCCATATAGCAGTTCATACACATTTTGTTTCATGACATTAACTGCAATTTCACAATATAACAGCTCTCTTCCCACTTCCTCCGCATACTTGCCTCTTCCCTGTGTGCTTCCCTCCCATGCACTCCTGCCCAGAGTGATCTCCTTGTACATACACTGCCCTTCTATTCTCTCATGATTGATCTCTCCAAGGCGTGTATCTACCTGGTGTAAATGTTTAGCCCATATGCTGATCTTTTATTTGGTGGGAAGCCACAGGAGTGAGTTCAGTTCCAGATCTGAAGGGCAGCTAGGGGCCATAGTCTCAGGGGTTTCACCAGGCTCTATCAGCCCAGCAAACTTGGTCTTTTTTTTTTTTTAATATAATTTTGAGTTTTGTTCCACATTGTTCTCCCACTCTATCCAGCATCTCCTACACAGATCCCTCTACAAGTGGTTGACAGTGGTAGCCAGGTACCATCTAATTCTTCTAGTCTTTGGTCATATAGGCTGAGGATCACATGGTCTACCAGTCCCTTGGACTAATTGTTTCCATGCACCTTTGTTTTTCTTCATTCTTATTTGCTCTGGATGAGGAGAGACCCATCTTTGCATCTGGATGGTGTGCTATCTGTTTTTAATATGTAACTTTTTGCCTGCACAAAAATAATAATGAGGGTGTCACTTTGTGTGTTAAAAATATTTCTGAAAGTTAAGCACAGCTGAGTTCCTGGATTCTTGCATAGAAAAAGTAACACATCCCATGTGCTTCCAGTTTATTTGAGTGATAGTCCTTTTTGGCATAAAAAATGAGATGTTTATCTGGCTTGAAGTCGACAGTTCTCCCCTGGACTTTATTAATGAAGTTTCTTCACCACTTGTTGCCATTCCTGCTGTGGGACAGATTAGACTTTCCTTCCCAGTTTTCCATTTGGTGCCTGAGTGGTCTTCACTTTGCTGACGTTTTGTACTTTGGACAATTGCCAGCTTTTCCCCACCTTCCTCAAGGTCACCAACATCTGGGCAGGAAGAGCCCTGCATAGTGATTGGTGACAGATTTTCCCTTGAGGACACTGGAGACAATAGTTAGTATATCTAGCTATTAGAAATTTGTAAACTCTTTCTTGTTAGAAGTTTTTCTCATAAGAAAAGAGAGACTCAAAAGTAAAGTATGGTTTTTTAAGTATTGTTATAGCCACTGGGTTCCTATAACAAGGCTCATCATCTGTGTAATCCTTAGATGGTAATTTGTAGAACATTCTATCCAACAATGGTTGACATCTAGGGTGTGAATCCAAAAATTTCAGGTAAGGCATGATGGTATAAGTCATCCTGCTCTACTTTAGTAAGAGATAACATTGTTCAAGGATTTACCTTAAAATATTTCCTTCTCTTTCTTAAATTCCTGATGGAGCTACTCACCCCAATGAAGCACTAGGTGGCTAGTGCACTGTCTGGCCCACACTTGGCCTACTCCATTCTGTTTGCTTGGTTTTTGCTATGCTCAGGATCTAATTGGAATGGCTCCTGCCTAGTCAGGGCAAACCCTCTTTCCTCCAGTTAATTAGCTTTCTGTGTCATTTTAAAGGTAGCCATTACAGCTTTGTTATTGTTAGGTATTGTCAAATCAGTTCCAACTCATGGCAACCTCAAGAACAACAGAAGGAAACACTGCCCAGTTCTTTGCCATTCTCACATTCATTGCTGTGCTTGAGACCGTTGCTGATTCGTTCATGAATAATGAGTCACAGTTTGAAAATAAAGTTCTCTGAGGAAGCTTCAGTTGTACTTGTAGGTTTCCTGAAATGTTTGTGAATTCCAGGTGATGGCAGGTCTATATGAGAAGGCATTCCATTTCCTTTCTAAAGCTGTGCAGACTGCTGAGGAGGGGACCCAGTCTTCCACCAGGGACTATGCCCACATGGCTGGAGCAATAGATGCTTACATGACTTTGGTAAATTTCTGTGATGGAGAGCTCCGTAAGGAGGAAGAGAATCCATCAGGTGAGTTTTATTTTGTTAATATAAAGTCCGTTATTTGTTTTTGTCTTTTTCATTTATATAGCCATTCTTCCATCTTTCATTAATTCATTAACTTTTTAAAATGTGATTGTGTGTGTGTATATGCCATTTCAACATTTTATTTCATGTCCAATTCATTGACATTAATTACGTTCATCATGTTATGCAGTCATCAGTACTACTCATTTCCAGATGATTCCATGACAGATATTCTGAGAGAATTCTATTGTTCTTTAAGTAGCCATGGTATCTTCAATAACATGTCACCTTCTAAATGATGTCAAGCTGTTTTCTGCCTTTTTATTTGCATCTTTCCTATTTTATTGGCAGGTTTGGTACAGGTGGCTGATGTGGCCTGCTTCTTTATTCTGGAATAAATTCCATAACCAGAACAAGTCCCTAATGTTTCTAGCCCAGAATCCAAACTATGCATCATGCAAAATGAATAATATAATAGAAGAATTCATCTTCAAGATAAAATCTTACTTATAGTCCAAAATGTATCTTTCTGGTATTTGGTGATCTAAAGTAGTCATTGAAAAGAGAATAATGATGTATTACACAAATATAAACCAAAAAGAGAAAATGTAATCATTTGTTAAATTTATAATTTCTATGTAAATGGATATATTGACTATTGTTTTATTATTTGTTGTCTTTGATAGTTATTGATTCTGTAAAACTACAGACTTATCCAGTACTTGTGGTGGAGAAAATGTTGAAAGCTTTAAAATTAAATTCCACTGAAGCCAGGCTAAAATTTCCCAGACTACTTCAGATTATAGAACACTATCCAGAGGAAACCTTGAGCCTAATGACAAAAGAGGTTAGTATCTGCATTCTAGTGAAGAGGAACTTTACAGAACTTAAAGATACACTCTTTTGTTTGTTGTTATGTGCCATCAAGTTGGCCGCGACTCATAGCGACCCCTCCTTGGGTTTCCGAGGCAGTATCACTACAGAAGTAGATTGCCCCATCTTCCTTCCGAGGAGTGGCTGGTGGGTTTGAACCGCTAGCCTTCTGATTAGCAGTCCAGTGCCTTAGGCAGTACGCTACCAGAGCTCCTAAAGATATACTCTTACTTATACCCAAATTTATTAGCCTCCATGATGTGTGTATCATAGCTTTTCCCAACCAACAATGAATCCTGCTATATCCCAAGAACATATATAATTTTAAGTTATATAATAGAATTTCATATTTAACCATGATCCTTTGTCAGCATTATAGGAAGCCTGGGTCTAAACAGAGACCCGAAAGAGTAGAGTAGTGGGAGTGTTTAGGTCAGAGATGGCTTTTCTGTAGAACATTGACTGCCCATGAAACTCAGCTGCAGTCTGTACTATCTGTAGTAGTGTGTGCTCTGTTTGCTATGTGCAACCAGGTTGACCAATGTGCTTTACTTACACCCATCTCCTGATGACCACTGTACCTACCTGCAGGTAGGCCAGGATTGATGAGGACCACTTCATGCGGTGTCATTGGTATGTTTTGGGCCTGGCCTTAGAGCAGCTATTGGGTACAGTATGGACGACTTCTCTGGCATACTCTGCCTCAGAGCTATGTGTGCCCTGCTGACCTTATCCAACATGGGCCTGCTACTTACCCTTCATCCAGGCTGGTATGCTGTTTTCAGGGAAAATTATATTTTCTTCATTTGTGAAAGGTGTAGGGTCAGTTGAAAGATTCACTGTTACAGATATTTAAACTGGAAAATAGGGCCAGGCTTTGAATTGAATAAGCAGTGGTTGAAATAGGTCCCAGAATATTCCATTAACTATCCTGGTCAGTGTGAACAATGGTGGTGTATGAACTGTGGGGTATGTGCCACCTGTCAGCATCTTCATCCCCTCCAGTCTCAGGGGATCTGCATGGCAGGTTCTCTCAGCAGATCTGAAACAGGAGGTTAAAGTAAAGGTAACCTACTTGTATTTTTCCTAAAGATAACTGTAGGAAACATAGTTTACTATTTTTATTTTTCCCAGTATAAGATTTTATGTACATAGGGTGAAGATAGCATTATTGAATTTGTGAGGAAATAAAATGAAGTTGTGACTCCTGGACAGATACTAGCCTAACATTTCCTGAGTATTGCAATGAGCTACACACTGTAACTATTGATTTATGTGGATAGATCCATTTTACCCACACATATACTGCAGATGAGGAAATGCAGGCATATAGAAGATATGAAACTTGCCCAACTTCATTCTTTATACCAGCATTCCAAGTGTGTCATATTTTATCTTAAAAATAGCACATAAAGGCATTGAAAGGAAACATGAGTAAATTTTTTCAAATGGTCTTCGAGTAAAGAGACAAAAAACAGAAGACATAAAGGAAAATAATTTGATACTTGTCTACAGAAGAAAATGCCATAAATAAAGTTTAAAAAGAAAAAAATGGCAGAAATATATCTGCAATGCATATGAGAGCCAGAGGGTTAATTTCTCTAGTCAAGAAAGTTACTGTCACAAATAAATGACAAAAAGGCAAATATGATTTATAATAGAAATAAATTTCTACTAGAAAATGGTCAGAATAAATGCATACACATAGTTAAAGTATGTGAGGTAAATAAACATAGAAGGCTGAGCCTTACCAGACACAGAAATTAGAATTAGATGTTTATTTACTTGTCAGATTGACAGTGATTTCAAGAATTAGTTGTGTTGAGTGTTCTTAAGAATTTTAGAAAATAGTCACTCACTTATACTTTTAGATATGATGTTGAAAAATCTTTTTAGAGATAAATCTAGCAGTATTTATTAAAATTTTTCATTCTCACAATAATTCTACTTCCAGGAATTTACTCTGTAGCATATAACACAAGTACAGAGAGGTGTATACACACACACACACACACACACACACATATGGATGTATATTATAGCATTTCCTATAATAGCAAAAAATTGTAGAAACAACCTAAATATTCATTTAGAGCAGCAGTTAAGTAAAATGGAATATTACTCAACTGTTAAAAGGACTGAGGTAGGTCTGATTACACATCTGTCTAAGAAACACCAGTAACAGGATGTGATTCCATTCTTGTGAAAAAAGGTATGCTCACACATGCATAGTGCTGGTAGCACAGTGTGTAAGCACTTAACTGCTAAGCAGAAGGCTGGTAATTTGAATCCACTAGCCACTCCACAGGAGAAAGATGTGGCAGTCTGATTTTATAAATATTTGCTTGGAAAACATAAGGGGCAGTTCTACTCAATCCTGCAGGGTTGCTATGAGTCAGAATCAACTCAGTGGCAGAGGTTTTGGTTTTTGGTTTATGAACATGCATAGAAAATGGCAAAAAGAGTTAAGTGCCTGCCTCGAGAATAGGAGTAGTGGACTTGACATGAAGAGTTTTATTTTATACTTCTCTTTTTATACATCTCATTTTTCATATTGGACATGTATAGCTTTTGTCATAAAACCTGATTATATTTTCTTCATGCACTAAGACACAGCTGTCTGTGTTTTAGATTTCTTCCATTCCTTGCTGGCAGTTCATTGGCTGGATCAGCCACCTACTGGCCTTACTGGACAAAGAAGAAGCTGTGGCTGTGCAGCATACTGTGGAAGAGATTGCTGACAACTATCCACAGGCGATCGTCTACCCTTTCATAATAAGCAGTGAGAGCTATGCCTTCAAGAATACCTCTGCCAGTCATAAGAACAAGGAGTTTGTGGCAAGGTGACATCAGACATAATCTGATCAAATACTGCAGGTTATAAAAACTGAGTGTGGTAAAAGCAAACATACAGAACCTTATGACTGTGTAACAATTCCTTTCCTTTTGAAAATATATTTTATGTTAGAATGCTATTCAGGAAACATCTACCCTTATTCTCATAGTTATTAAGCTGTTGCTTGAGACAGAGTACATGCTTTTAGAAATCAGTCCCTGAAACTGATCTTCAATTTGAAATATACAGGCAGGTCCCCTTTCTTCATGAGGACACAGTAAGCTGCCTGAAGAGTTATGCTTTTTGATGCTTCTGCTGATTTATAAGTGGAGACAGTTGCCACAACTAGCAGTGGCATATTAGTTTTGCAAGAATACTATGTAAATATGTGGTACTTTGGCAAACATTACGAAGAGCTTTTGTTTTCCATCTGTGAACTTGCCCCTGCAGGTGACCAATGTAGAGGAAGGGCTTTTCACACAACAAAAAAAGATTGGGAGAAAAGTGTGTTGAGAAAATGACCCTTTCTTTTATAATACAAGTTCAAATATATCAAATTGTGTACATCAAAAATGCTAGCAAATAACGCCAAAATCATTCACAAGAATATTTGCTTTATCCAAAAACTTCATGCCTTGATTGAATAGATACTTTGTGCTTTACCTAATATTGGGGAATTTTTAAGGTGCTCCTTCCCTGGAATATGCAGCTTTCTAGAATATGCATATATATCTCTCTGAAAGATGTTTGATTTCCTAAACTTGGTAAATTTTTTATAGGATAAAAGGTAAATTGGATCAAGGAGGAGTGATTCAAGATTTCATTAATGCACTAGAACAGCTTTCCAATCCTGAAATGCTTTTTAAGGTAATATAACAGCTTCTAACACATGAAACATAAAACTTAGGTAAAATGTACTTACAATGGCACTTGATTTTTTTTTTTTTTCAATCTACACAGGATTGGACTGATGATATCAAAGTTGAACTAGCAAAAAACCCTGTTAATAAAAAGAACATCGAAAAAATGTATGACAGAATGTATGCAGCCTTGGGAGACCCAAAGGCTCCAAGCCTAGGGCCTTTTAGAAGGAAGTTTGTTCAGGTATGAATGGATGGCAGTCTCCTTTATTATAAAGGAATCATTGTGAAGATAAGTAGTCACATCCAGTGAATTATTAATAATTTTTGTTTTAAAATGTCTGCTGAATTTGTAAACTTGCTTCAGGTCTGCTGCCTTCTCCAAGATATTAACAGCATATTTTTAGATCAATTAATTGCAGGTGAGTGACTGGGCCAAGCCTTAACTTTTTTATTACACTCTGTTCTTCATGCTCAGCTTCTTTAACTATAGTGGCTATATGCAGTTTAATACATATAATTCTCAGAAATGATTTGAATAATAAATCCAGAAAATATTTGTTTTTTGTAAGTTTTTAAATATTTTTGAGGACTTTCCTCTGTCAAGACACAATCTTGCATATGACAGGAGATACAAAGGAGGGAGACTCATTTTCTGAATTCAAGGGATTATATGAAAAAATACCATATATAAAGAACTAAGGCATAAGCACAGATGTGATAAATGTGAGAGCTATTTTAAAAGTTGCTCTGGAGTTGAAAGAAAGGAGAACACGCTTCAGTTCAGAGGGAATCAGAGAGAAAGATATAGAGAGGTACGTGGGAAGTACAAACAACAAAGATGAACCCTTTGCGCATATAGTATGGCGTGGTCAGTGAAGGCAAACACAGGTATATGAGTGGATAGATGGGTGGACAGGCTGAAATATTAGGTATGTATATGAAGTAGAGAGTGCACCCAAGAACATGTATAGGGTTGGCAGACAGTGGTCCAATAACTTTATGTGTATGATCTGAATTCCCAGGTGTATAATGGGGCTGACAAGGGGCAAGGTTGTAGTCACTGCTTGGTCACAGCCAGCTACCCAGAGGGACCAAGTAGTTGAACCTGTGGGCTCGGACCATAGTCGCAGAGGACACCAAGCTCAATTGGCATAACATACTACACAAAACATTGTTCCACCCCCTACTGTGGCGAGTAGTGACTGAGATCTTAAAAACTTGCAGGCAGCCATCTAGATGCAACAATGGGTCTCTCCTCATCCAGAGCCAAGAAAAATGAAGAAAACCAAAAATTCATGGAAACAATTAGTCCTAGCGACTGGTACACCATCCGATCTGCAGCCTATGACTATGAGACCAGAAGATTTAGATGGTGCTCAGCTACTACTGTCACCCACTTGGAGGAGGATCTTTGTAGGAGATCCTGGATATACAGGGAGAACAATGTGGAACAAACCTCAAAATCATTTGGGAAAAAAAAAGGGGGAAGAGCAGGTTTGCTGGCCTGAGGGAGCCTGGTGGAACCACTGAGACTATGGCCCCTAGCTTCCCTTCAGGTCTGGAATTGAATGCACACCTGTGGCTTTCAGCCATACAATAGACAGGTATATCAGTTTAGCATTTACCTGAGGTAGATATACTCCTTGGAAAGAATAAGCATGAGAGAAAGAAAGGCTGCTCAGGACAGGGAGACAGCTCAGGGGGTAGGAGTGCATGGAGAGATGGACACAGAGAAGAGGTAACTGTCAGGAGGAAGTGGGAGGGGAGATGTTACATTGTGCTAAATTGTGGTCAATGTCATGAGACAAAGTGTATATGAGCTGCTGTATGGAAAGTGTATTTGCTCTGTAAATTTTCACCCAAATCACAAAAAAAGAAAAAGAAAACTTTGGGAGCAAGTAGAATTTGAAACAGACCTTGAAATGCCTAGACTTTGCCAAAGACCTGGCAAAGGCTATCCTTCTTAGTGGATTTAGCTTCACTCCCTTGTCCAACTGGAGTACTTGTCCTTAAAGATTTGGCTGAAGTACCAGTTCTACTTTAGAGCTTTCCATTGTCCCAAGAAGAATTAGATACTACTAATTTCTCTGTTCCCCATTACATCTTGCATACACCTCTCTTTTAGCGTTCATCACATTGGTTTGTTATTGTTCTTGAAACATTAGTCAAATTACACTTGTTTATTAAATCCCAAGAAGTTTAAGTATAAAGGAGAAGTCCTGGGACTAATTTTGCCAGAGATCCCAAGTCCCATTACTCTTAAAAGAGTATAGAATATTAGAGTGAACATAGATCCCAACAATGCTGCAAAAGTCTGTCAGTGCTAGGCTAAGAAGGTTATATTTAATAAAAGTGATTAACTGGTAATATTTGAGATAGCTTTTAGTTATGGAGTTTTCGTAGTTGTAAACTTGAAACCTGCTTTATTACTTTATTCTGCTGGCTAAGATTTTGCTAACAGGAAGAGCAATGTTTATTTATATTAAGCCAAAGCATCAGTAATGGGTTCCTGAAATTTAGTGGAGATCCTCTTATCAAACTTAGTTATCTAGTGCTGTTATAACAGAAGCCACCAGTGGGTGGCTATAACAAACATTTATTTTCACACAGTTGAGGAGGCTAAAAGTCCCAATTAGGAGTCTGGCTCTGGGTAAGACGTTCCTTCTCTGTGCTCGCTCTAGGGGAAGGTCCTTGTCTCTTTTCAGCTTCTGTTCCTAGCTTCTTTGGTCATCAAGTGGATGTATCTTCCCCTCAATTTGTGCTTGCTTGCTTGCTTCCTTAATCTGCTTTTATATCTCAAAAGAGATTGACTTAAAACACATCCTACACTAATATTATCTCATTAACGTAACAAAGAAAACCCATTCCAAATGAGAGTACAGATAGTATTTAAAAAAAAAAAAAAAACAACTCACTGCCCTCAAATCAATCCCGACTCATAGTGACCCCTCCTTGGGTTTCTGAGGCAGTATCTCTATAGAAGTAGATTGCCCAGTCTTCTTTCTGAGGAGTGGCTGGTGGGTTTGAACCATATACTCTAACTAAACTCACCACCATCGAGTCAAATCCGACTCAGAGCGACCCCTCCTTGGGTTTACAAGGCGATATTGCTACAGAAGTCGATTGTCCAACCTTCCTTCCAAGGAGTGACTGGTGGGTTTGAACTGCCAGCCTTCTGGTTAGCAGTCAGATGCCTTAGGCACTATGCCACCAGAGCACCTTTGAACCATATAGGGGTTAGAATTTGCAGACATATTTTGGGGGGACAGAGTTTAATCCATAACACAGACCAATAGTTGGTTAATCATGAAAGTTATTAAAGTACAGAATCATAAAAATATTTTATCTATTAAACAGTTTCTTTTAGCATGAAATATCTAGAAATACCTTTATTTCTTGATCTGATGTAAATCAAAGGCCTTTCTTTAATATGGTCTGCTACTTAAAGCTCCTTTGTCTTTCTTACATAAACTGTACCTCTGAATAGGTCGTCTACATTCCAGCTTCAGATGCTTTAAAATAGAGCAAGAATTTAGACACCAGTGAAGCAATCTGATTATAGGATACTTGTAGATTTCCATCCTCTATAGCTATCTCACCTAGTCCTTTTTTCCCCCCTTGTTTGTTTATTTTTTATTGTAATTTGAATGAAAGTTTGCAGAGCAAATTCTTTTTACATACAATAGTTTACACACATTTTGTTTCACAAAATTGATTGTAATCCCAACAGTGTAACAACTCTCTTTCCACTTACTCCCTGTTGTTGTTGTTGTTATGTGCCGTCAAGTCAGACCCAACTCATAGCGACCCCTCCTTGGGTTTCCGAGGCAGTATCACTACGGAAGTAGATTGC